GGTCAAGGCTTGAATCTATCTAAAAGTGCTGAGATCGATCATTGTTCGATCGATCGAACCATGAACTTGGATCGATCGAACTTTGCTGCTTGCCACCTTTGGCTTCATTTGCTTCCTTCTTTCTCCACTTTGCTCCTTTCTTTGTTTAATCCCAGAATTGCTTTAATTAAGCTCTTATTTGGCGGAGTTAGCTTATTTTCGGGATAAGTGCCTGAAAATGGAAATAATGCGAAATCAATCTAAAATGGTAAAGTAAGATTGATAAAGGTACTAGAATGCCTAAGCTTAAGGGATTTAAATACGCATTTTTCAGTGCTCATCAAGTATCATGTTTCAACACTAAAATTATAAATATATGTGTGGCCTCACTGGAGTCCCCAAATAAAAGTAAATGTTTGAATAATTGATAAGGAAATATTGGACCCTTTAATAACAATAGATAAGAAAAGCTATAAGATTAAATCTGCTCTGGGAATTGAGAACTCAAGGATTTGAATGGACCTGAGATATATTTACTTGGTGACCACCAGATGATGAAAATCTCAACAAGTCATTGGTTGCATGTTCTTCTAGATATGGCTTATACATTGTTTGGAATAAACCAAACTGCCCTTGCACAATATTCTTCACCTGATAGGTAATAAAGATGTTAACGAAAAATACCAGAGAACAGAAGAATAGATCATGCCGATTTCACCTCCAAGGTCAAGGAAGTGCCATATGGATGTTAGGCACTAATAATATCTCCAAAACAACAAAGATAAAAATGAACAGTTATGTAAAAGAACATGTAACCGCATCCAGGAAATATATAGATTTCAGAACATTCTGTGATAATAGTTACATTATTTCTAATATAATTCAGAAGCCATACTTGGCAATATCTGACTTTCCATTATTGGTTTATGACCTACGTTAACTGAACTGGGGTACGTTTGTCAGGTACAAGCACCGTGGAAACCTTAATCTTTGTTTTATTATCCATTCTCATAGTTTCATTGTATGATAATTACCATAATGTTGTTTATCTCTTTCATAATTGTAAATTAACTATATTGCTTTTCTCTACTCATTTGGCATGTCATAAAGTATAATAGGTCTAAACGCTGTTTCATGAAATTTTCCTTTTAGTCTAAAGTAATATGTTGATCATACAATTTGTTAGGAGCACTATGTGATACCCCCGGATTTCCGGATGCGGGTTGGCCAGGCCCACGCCCGATAACCCAAGGATATCATATCAATTAGCAATTTAACGAATACAGAATACAATATAGGAAAAAGGAATAAATAAAATTTTGCTGAAAAGAACTAAAATGAAAATCCTTTAATGGAAAAAACCTCCGAATAAACTTTATATGCAAGAATTAGTTTGAATACACCAACTTCTCCTTTACTTCTAATACAACTCGGGAATTCATCTTGTGGACCCCTACTAAAAATATTCCAATACTGAACATGAACAACTGCAAAGACAACCAACGATCATAATGAGAAGAAATACTCCTACGTCGTCGGTGGAGTGAATAACTGTATCTGCTCAGCACAATCAAGCTCTAAGCCTGGAATTGACGAACACCTGTAAAAATAAGAGTGGGTTAGGCCCACATGCAAGTTCTATCCTAACTGCAATCCAGATAGTGACCCGATACGCAGATACACCCTAGATATCTCAGCAATAGCTATCTAGTCCATACATATATAAATATCCACACTAAGGGACATTCATTGGACTATGTAAGGGGTCTCAACCTGAATAAAAGACAACATGCAAAAACGCACCCAAAGGTGGGCATGAGTACCTAGACCTAACAGGGTACACCTCAACCTATTATAGTCAGCTACGCATCCACTGCATATACGCACCCTAACCAACGAGTCTGAGACTCAAGCTCAACTCGTGGTACCATAAACATATATATAAAGTCCGTCCAAATCCAGGGTATGCAGTTCAACTATTTATTAAACTGACATACAATAAACCAACTAGTTAGTCACTCAACTTATTCAGTTGATATGACTTAACTACCATCCGTTAATCCAGGAAGTCATCCAACTTGGTTACAGCTGATCTGACTTAGTCACAATTAGGATTCGATATCTTTCAATCCATTCCATTAATCTATTAGGTTAGGTTTATGCGTTTTGAGCTAAACCGTCCCTAGTATGTCACCGTCCCATACCGGTACATACAATCCTCCATATCCACGCAAATTACAACATATATAACAGTTCAATAATTTACAGACCCAAAAACCACCATCCAAATAATTGTAGAAAAATATTTAAAGCTTCAGCAATTTAAATCCAAGCATTTAACCATATAGTTGCAGGAGACGATTTAATAAATCAACAACTAACATCCAGAGCATGCATAGACCAAATTTAATATGTCAGGGACTCCATCATGCATGTGAATAGGTTAAATAATCCTATTATTATCCAATAAATTGCTAAAATAATTTCAGAAGAATGTTTAATATTTCAGCAATTTAAATCCAAGCATTAACCATATAGTTGCAGGAAACGATTTAATAATTCAGTAACTAGCCTCCTAAGCATGCATAGATCAAAATTAATAATTAAATGACCTTATCATGCACTTGAATGCATTCTAAAACAAGTTTTATAAACACATTATATTCCATCAAATTGCTTAAATTTAATTCAACAATTAATTTAACTTCCATTTGTTAGCAACATAGGGAGTGTCTTAATTTTTACACTGTTTGTCCCGACAATTTAGAATTAAACCCTAATCAATTTAAGGTCCTAATAACACCCAAATTCAGCCTTCTAAACTCTCCGTGGAACCCCAGACCCAACAGATTTAAAACCCATGCTCCAATAGTAAGAACAGTACGTAGAAAATTAAAAAAAAATTAAAACAAATCGTAAAATAAAAGGGAGCCTGCTCCAAATTTTGGAGCAGGCTCTTTTTCAGCCTAGAGCCGGCTCTAGGACTCCTTAGAGCCGGCTCTACTTGTTATGGGAGCCGGCTCCCACTTCTATGGAGCCGACTCTCACCTCCTTTGAGAGCCTTCAGTCCCCGGTGCTTCATTTCAGTCTGTTTGCTCTGTCTCTGGACCATCCCTACCACTCTGTTGATTTCTAAAACTCATCTTAAGAGTCTTATAACACCCTAGTAACACTCCCATGATTCGTTTACAGAAGTTGAAATCAAATTAAAACTAAATTTGTTACCGAAACGAAACATGCTTTAGGAATAAAACTGAAACTATTTTGCAATATCAATTCCATTCCAATCCCCTCTGTTCCTCTTCACTACTGAACTTAGGAGTCTTATCTAATCCCAGTAGCATCCCAATCATTCGTTTACCGTTGTTGAAAGAAAATACAGTAACTAAAATTCCAATAGAATTTACATGCTTTAAGAAAACAAAACTAAACAGACTTGCACGAATTGTAACAGATTTAATTTCAACAATGAACAGCCATCAATATAGCATATATTAACCATGTAAATTCCAGTTCCTGATTAATTAAACCCTAGAGACTATCTAGGTACACAGAACACAAGCCAAAGGGAAGGAGGAAGAAAAGAACTTGCCTTTCGGTTTCGGTTTGAAACCTTTCAACGTCGTCTTCTTCCTAGACTTTCCGGCGATCGTGATCGCCGTCAAGGATTCCTCTGCTCCGGTTCTAACCCTCAAACAACCCTCAAGCTTCCTCCTTAGTCCGGCTTACAATCTTTGGCTCAAACCCTACCTTCCTCTTCTTCAGTTTTTCCCTTAAACTCTCTGTTTCACTCTCTGTATTTTCACTATTCGTGAATAAGGTTTGTGCTTACAACCCTAAGCAGACCCTTATTATTTTATTTATAGGCTTAGGAAAAGATATTAACCCTAATTCTACTCTAATCGTAGAGACGGAAATCAACAATTCTTTACATCTCTAAGGCGGCTTAATTAAACAAGGCGGCTTTATTCAAACGTGACAGTAAAGAGACAAAACCCTAATAATTTAACCTATTTAATTAAATAAAATAAAAAAACAATTAACCAATTAATTAAAACCACAATTAAATTACATAAAATAATTAACCAACAAAACAATTAAAAAACAACCTAAATGACAATTAAATTAATTAAAGACTAAACAATTAAATCAAATAAAGAACGAACAAATAATTTAATCAATTAAACCTAAACACATAAAACACTTAAAATAAATAGTAAAATCTCAATTATATCCTTTTTAATTTTAGGGGTATTACACACTATGCATTTAACCCATCATGCTTTGGTTTTATAAGCAAAACTATCTCCAATCTCTCCCTCTCTTCAATAATCAAGACTAGATGACAAAACTGTTCTAGTTTTGGTATCTCCCTACTCTTTATTTCACTATTTTTTTACGCATTCACTTTACTAAAGTTGCATTGATACATTCAGTTTTGTCCTACATATCTTAAACTCTTTTGATTCTACACCGTCACTCCGAACAATTAATTTAACATTGTCCTTTCTTTAATTTTATTAATCAGAAAAACATCATCAATAATTAGCCTAGACCATGAACTTCATCCTTTACGTTTTTTTGTTAATTCATATATAATCAAGTAAAAAAGATAGAGGCTTAACATCAATCTTTGATATATGTTTACGATAATTGAAAATTCGCTTGTTTCTCTTGCAGTTGTTCTAACTATAGTTGTAACTCCATCTTACGCATCCTTTATCATTTCAATTTATTTATTTATCATGATAGCCACTAGTTATATGTATAATATCAGAAAGACCAAAGCACACTAATACTATTAGAAGCTACAACTACAAGTCATATTCTTCGCCTAAGATCTAAGTAAGTTGTAATCAACCTTACCTTATTTTAATCTTCTGCAAAAAGCATACATAGATCACCCATATATGACAGGCTACATATTTTGGCAAAGAGATCTTCTTGGAAGAGCATCAAATTATTTTACAAATAAAATAATAAGTTTGTAGTATTAAATAATTTAAGTGAAAGGAAGCAAACCTCATTGAATTTGGATGGCAAAAGAAGGAGAGCAGCAGATGTTGCAGCTCTCAAATTAACAGAGTTTACATTTGAAATATCCAGATTATCCTTCAGTATATGAACCTAAAAAAAAAGGTTCAGAGAAAACAGTTTGGTCACACAAAAGATAACAAGCACATTCAGTGGATGATAGATCATAACTAACAACAAACAGTTCAGAGAAAGTTAAAGATAATAGCATGCAGAATTTGTGAACCACACACATCAAAGAAAATCATAAGCAAAATCTAGAGTCTCTCTCAGCTTAATTCAGTCACACAAAATAAAGAAAGAAACCGCCCTATATCCCTGTGCTTGAATTTTTTGCCAATTCAAAAGATAAAACCTCAAACATGCCAATTCTAAGTGCAGGGCTGAAATTCAAACAATTTACACAAACAAAGCCCAAAAAGAGGCCATACTGACATCATGACCACATCCACCACAAATTCCTCCTTAAGTATCCCTATGTTCTCTTCCCACATTGCCCATAAATTTTAAGCAAATATGCTTCCTAAGTAACTTTATCCATAAACCTCCAGCCTGGTACACCTACTCATCGACAAAGCTTCTCACATAGCTAAGCATCACCTGCTATACATAAAATAGGCTAAAGAAACACCTCCAAATGAGAGAAGGGGTTGGATGATGAAATAGTAAGTGACCAGTCATCTTCTCTTGACATATGATTAAATAGGCAACAACATGATCTTATTAGGCCATTGAATGCATGAAAGAAAATGTCACTTTAGAAGGAACCATATATGTCAACAATAAGTCAGGTGAAATGAGGCTTCCCATCGTCCATCAAAGAGGGTTAATAGTCAGTGGAGAATAAGATCTGACCTATCAAGAAGCCACGTCTTTTTTATCACTTCATTGACATCCAAATACCAGAATGGAATCAAACTAATTGTTCAGGTGCATTTGGACTGACTCTTTGCTTGAGGATGCCACCATACCCAATGTCAGAGGCATCAGTTTCAATTATTTTGAAAGAATCAGTAGTAGGAATGCCGAGACAAGGCAATGACTTGACAAATCGCTTAATAGATTTAACTATATCAGTATGGACAGAGGTCCATGGAGGAGGGTTACACTGAAGTCGATCAAATAGGGGCTTACATTGTTTGCCCAGATCTTTGTAAAAATCAGCAATGTAATTTAGAGACCCTAAGAATCGCTGTAACTGTGATTTTTCTAAAATTTGATCTGGGAATTTATTAGCAAATTGAAGAGACCTATCAATGGGATGAATTTGACCTTGATAGATATGGTAACCAAGAAACCTGATGTTGGTTTGGAATAACTTGATTTTTGTAGCAAAAACAACAAGACCATTCTTTTGAATTGTCGCTAGAAACGATTTCAAATGTTTCCAGTATTCATCAATTGACTTAGAGTAGATAAGAACATCTTGAATATAAACAATAGAAAAGTGACTATAAGGATTGAAAATATCATTCATGATATTTTGAAATATCATTAAGCCGAAGGGCATTACTTTCCATTCATAATGACCAAATGGAGTAGTGAAGGCAGTTTTGTATCTATCTTTCGGAGACGAATCTGCCAAAATTCTGACTTCATATCAAATTTGGAGAAAATTACTGCTTGACTAAGGCGACTAATAAGATCTTTTTTATTGGGAATAGGATACCTAATCCACTCTAAGACCTTAGTTAGGGGTTTGTAATTTATGACTAGACGGGGAACACCTCTTTCTAGTTCAGAGTTTTTCTGAACATAAAAAGCTGGACATGACTAAGGTGACTTGCTTTTCTTAATAATCTTCTTATGTAGAAGATCATTAATTTCGTTTTTGCAAAATTCCTTGACTTCAGGACACATTTGAATTGGTCTGGCTTTAGTAGGAATATGCATTCTTTTGAATCCTTTAATATATGGTAACTTCACAGAATGTCTTTTTCTGTGCCAAGAAGCAGTGGGTAGATCAGAACAAACTGTATTTTTAATTTGTTGTTCAAAATCTTGAATTTTTGTTTGGAGAACTGGTTCAGTTAACTGAGTATCAATTCTCTTGTAATTAACTTCTTCCTTCAAAAAACTCAACTGTTGAGTTTTACTTTGAAGCAGATTGATTGATTTAGACACAGAAGAATCAATTACTGATTTTAATTCATTCCGGGAAGGAGGACTAAGGAATTTGAATTGAACCTTGTGTCCAAAAGGTCGAGTGACTAAACCTTCATTATCAGTGGTGAATGGATAGAGGAGGTAGATGAATGGAACACCTAATATTAGCTTATCAGTCATATTTTTGACCAAGACAAATGATGTCTTAAAACATACATTATTTTGGCAAATATGAGCTTAAGAAAGCTTTTATTTTATGTCCATTTTACTACCATTAGCTGAGCTTAGCCTTTAAGAGGTTTTTTCGTAGTATTTAGTTGGTACGAGACCTTCCTGAATGCAATTAAGATCAGCCCCGTGACTTTCGTTTCTTCTGCAACACTGGTCGGGAACTGGAGCCGTTCCCCTGAGGAGGCCAAGGCAGGCAGAAACCAATCATTTCTCTTCTGAGCACAAGACTACCAGATCCTGTTCCGGATGGTGTGATACCCCTCAATTCTAGAGTCACGGGTGATCAAGTCCGAGCACAGAATACAAGGGATATCAAACAATTAATATTTAAACAAGCATTTGAATACAAAAAGAATAATAAAGAATAAATAGATAATAAGCTGAAGGAAACTAAATAATAAATCCCTATTTTAAAATCCTCAAATAAATAATGATTAAAAATCCAATAATAAAATCCTCCAATCTTCGGATACTAGTAATTAATTAAACTACAACTCGGGAATCCATCCTGTGGACCCCTAATAATATCCTAACTGAAATAACTGAACCGAAATAAAAATAATAAGTAACTAATGAAGACGAGTCCTACGTAGAGTCGGAAGAGTGAATGACTGTCTCTGCTCGGCACGAACAATCTCTAAGACTGGAACTGACGAACACCTGAAAAATAATGGTGGGTCAGGCCCACAAACAAGTTCTAATCTACTACATCCCAAACAGAGACCCGATACACGTACACATCCTAATTAATTCAACAATAACTAAATAGTCCATATGTAGATATATACACACTAAAGGAACCTCACTAGACTATAGAGTTGTCTCAACCTGAATAGTAGGCAACATGCAAAACGCACATATAGTGGGCATGAGTACCTACACCTACCAGGGTACACAACTACGTTATATCTAGCTACACATCCCTGGCGATATACGCACCTTAACCACTGATCCTGAGACTCAAGCTCATATCATGGTGTATAATTATATATTTAAAATCCATCCTATCCAACCATCAAAAATAAACTATCCAATTATTATTTTAATAATATGTCACTCAACTATTCCGTTGACCTGACACGAATAAGTAGGACTTAACACTATGGTTAATCCGTTCCCTTATTAAAAATAGGTAGGACTTAACTTTTAAGTTAATCCGTCCCTAATATGCCCCCATCCCATAATGGTGCATTAATCCACATCATAACCAAAGAGAAGTTTCCAATCCAAAGATAATGTAAATAATATTTACATATAAACATTATATTAATCATATATACATTCTTTGCATTTACTTGAGCAAAAATATCAATTCTAAGTATCATGCATTTAATTTTTCATTACACGAAATTAAAATGCATCTCAACTAAATTGTACATCTCCATATTTTGATTAAATTAATTTAAATCTAAGCAATAGATTAAAATAATTTAATCCAGCAATATCTAATTAATTTATTCTTTCAAAATTAATTAAATTCCATCCTTAGCATGTAAACTTATATCATGCATACCAATTTAAATTAAATAAATATTTAATTCAAATCCATTAATCAAAACTAACAAATATTAATTTAATATTCTAACATTAAATAGATTACTATTAAAAATATTTAATGCAAAAACTATTTAATCAAAACAAAATAAATTAATCATAATACCAATCATTATACTAATCATTATATCCATAATAGTACCAATCATTATATCATGGCATTATATAACAATCTGTTTTTTTTTTTTTTTAAAGGAATTGTTAAGACTTTCTCGATCGGCGTGCCCAATTCATGAAAGAACAAATTCCAGTTTACGAATTGCTGCAAACCCAGTTTCATGCCACTTTTTAGCTTGCCTCGTTCGGCGTGCATAGCTTGTAAAAAATACTAATTTTGACTTTACTTGCATGCATATAACTGATGCATGGAAAAATAAAATAAAATAAAAACCAAATTTAATTTATGCTAACATAAGTCATGTAAAAAATATATATATAACATAAATTAAATTAAACCCAAGGCCACCAACAGTGTAGACAAAAGAAAACAAATAATTAAAACCTATGAACTAAAATTTCAACATAAATCTATGTAATTAGATCCAATTAATTTATTTAAAGAACTTAGAACTAATCTAGCATGCATAGGGTATGAATCAAAGGAGAAGAGAAGAATTAAAACTTGCCTTTAGGGATTTGATAAAAACCCTAGCCTCCTTTTTCCTTTTTCTCTTCCTTCCTCTTCCTTCTTTCTCTCTCTAAAATATAGTACGTGATATATTTTCTAACCTCTTTCACAACGCTATAGTTATATATTTATAGGCAACTAAAATAACCCTAATCCTTTTCCCATTCCAAGACAAACTAAAATGAAATAAAAATAAAATAAAATAAAATAAAATTTAAATACTAAAAAGGTAACTAAATATATGTTACGTATAATCTATGTGTACCCCTTTTTATATATAATATATAAATATATATCAGATTATTATTAAAGGGACTTTCCTTACATATATATATATATATTTATTTATTAAATATACATATACATGGGTAATCATCCGTACCCATTAAACCCCTTATCCAAGTAGTCCATGGAGCCCAATTGATTGGTCAATTACTACTATTCATATCCAATTCCTTAAAAATATAAAAATAAAATAAATAAAATAAAAATAAAAATAAAACAATTAAATCACATTCAATTCAATTTAAACAAATAATTAAATCAATTAAACAAGTAAACAATTAGCCAAGAAAACAACTAAATAATTAAATGCAATTAAAACTATTAAAATAATACCGAGACTATCCTTTTTAAATTAGGGGTATTACAGATGGCTAGATCATCTTGTGAGTCGACGATCTTCTTTTTGTTAAATGGACAATCTTCTTTTTGTTAAATGGTATCAGAGCCAAGTGGCGATCAGTCAACGCCCATTTTTGCTGTGAAGATGATGAGTTTTATGGTTGCCGAGAAAGTGGTGGAGTCAGCGATTTTTTTCCTGTTCGACGATCCAAACAGTAAGGCCCGAGCCAAACAGTAAGACTTAGTGAGACCTGAGCGGGACGGCATGACCGGATGACTGCAGGGAAGGAAATTAGACAGACCACGAGGTAGCCAGATAGATAAATGCTTCATCGATGTTGATGTCAGGCGTGACGGTTGCTCTTGTCACATCCATCATCTATATGATGACAGAGCAAAGAAGATGTCGGCAGAGCATCTTTCTTTTTCAGATGCTTTTTGTTGTCGGTGGAAAAAAAGGACAAACAGTTTTTACCCACGTGGTGAAAGCTTTTTCTTGATGTGACCTGCCGCGTCCTATAAAAGGGGATGCTCCCTTCCTTCAACGTCTTGCGGAGGGAATGGGTTTGGGTGCAGGGAAAAATTCCGAGGCGGGATAGTATGGGATGGGTGTGAGCCCAAAACAGACTGTTCTTACTTGGGTGCCAGCCCCGTGACTTTCGTTTCTTCTGCAACACTGGTTGGGAACTGGAGCCGTTCCCCTGATGAGGCCAAGGCAGGCCGAAACCAGTCATTTCTTTTCCGAGCACAAGATTACCAGATCCTGTTCCAGATGTTCCCATATGATCTAGAACTACAGAGTCTAGAGGGGGATGGGAAGAGGAAATTACTGATTTATCTGATTTTTTCCATTTGACTTTAGTTAACACATTGACTTGATTATAACAGTTTTCTAGATAATCAAAAAATTTGATTTCTAGCTGGTGCTCTGTCATAAATCTTTGCTAATGACGGAGGATTCTTTGTTGTTCCTTCTCAGTATGATTTTTCCGATTTTTTTTCTTTCTTTTTTCTCTGTTTTGCTGAGAGGAATATTAATCATGTAACTTGGGGAGATTATATTTAAAAGGTTTACTAATGGTGTTTAACGAGGGATCAACTGGGTTGATGTTACCAATGAAATCTGAAGGTGTAGGTGAAGTACAGATTGAGACTTGGCTGGAGGAGTCTGTTCATAACAAGGATGACTAATTTGTTCTTTAATGTGAATGCCTTTTAACTTAAGATCTTTGAACTGGGGATTAAGTCTTGAATTTTTTCTTTCAAGAGGAGGGCCTAAGTTACTCTCTTTGTCATGATCTAGTCTGGAGGAAGTAGAAGGACGGGAATGGGTCAGAAGTTGTTGTTCATCAGAGCTTATTCTAATTGTTCCGTCAATATATTCCTGGACTCTATCAAGACTGCAGATATCATTTTGTATTTTTAATGGATGATTTTCATTTTCAAGAAACCACTCATTTGGTAAAGAAATATCTTTCCAAACAATAGTTTTCTTGAGTTTAATATTAGCATCAGCAATAGAGTATGGCCCTTAGCATCCTTTTTTATGGCCTTAATGTTGAGATTTGTTCCTCTTGTCTTGTAATAAATTCGATAGATAAGACCTAGAGGTTGTGAACCAGGAAGCATTTGTAACCAGAAGTCTTAATATTAAGGGTTAAGGCTTTTAATAAATGAGGATCAGTGAGGTTGAGGGTTAGATCAGGGTAGCAATTAAAATGAACTGGACCATTACAGAGACTGGTTTCAACTATTCCTAAGAGACTATCATCATATTCTAGGAATCTAGCATCACGAAAAGCTAAGAGTACTGAGGTATTGAGACCAGTACCACCAAATGGATTAATAGCCACTTGGACTAATCCTATGTGAATAAAATTGGATCCACGATCTTTGTGTCTTGAGTTGTTCGAGTATAACCATAAAAGACAAGGCATACATAATTTTGTAAAGAACACGATGATAAATCCACATCTTCAATCACATATCTAGGGAACAGGTAAATTGACCTTAGAAAGACCTAAATTAACTTACTTTGATCGTGGTGAGCCTCACAATTCTATTTTAATTTTGTTCTTTATCAATGGCTTTCAAAGGTAATGATTAGGGCTTTATTCAAAACTGAATTTGAAATTGAACAATAGAATGATGGTTGATCGATGGAGCACATTCCAATGGCTGAAGATCGAGGAACTGCTGGTTTTGTTGGGTTCAAAATACTGAGAGCGTTGAGGCAACTCCTGAGGATGTCTATTGATTTAACCTGACATACATATATCTTTGGAAACTCTCTCAAACCACAATTTTACAGATTCACCTTACTAAAATGAATGAGCTACCTAACCAACGGGCCAATGACCTAGCGGTACCAGGCCCCTACTTCCTAAAGGGAGGTCAGGGGTTTGAGCCTCGGTAAGGCATGTGTGTGTGAGTACCATCAACCAAGAAAGAAAAAAAAACTTATGAGATACCTATGTTGGCTACAAATATGGAATTATAGTCAACCTAGGTATGATTTTGAAGTCTCTAGACATCTAGAGAGAAAATTCTTCATTGAGTAGAATTTTCCAATTACTCAATCTAGGGTTTCCATAAACACCATTATATGTGAATGAGTGTTCAATAAGGAGGAATTCATCGATTCAAATCAAATAAACCGATGAAAGTTTCGAGCAAAAGGAGGACAATCACTGACGAAGTAGATTTGTGAGGAGTGAAGTATATTGACTAGCGGACAAATGGCCTGAAGATTTGAGTGGGAAGTTTGGTGTCAGTCTATGTCAAGAGGTAACTAGGGGTGTTCCAAGTGTGGGAATTGTCAAACAGGTTGTAACTTCTTTCTCATATAGTCAATTGTGCCTATCTAGACTAGGTCCCATGGTTATTTTCGGTTGGGTTTACCACGTAAAACTGTGTCTCTCCTCTTTACTTTATTTTCAATAGGTCTAAATCACTACTTGTACTCTGAGGGTATCTATTACCAATCTAGCACTAAAACCTTGATTTTCCCTTGGTATAATTTTTTTTTTTGTTTTTCCTTTGATTCAATTAGTTTTCAACCTGACTAATCGAAACCTTATTCCATCCATAGAAATTAGTTTTATCTTCTCAATCATAAACCCAAGTTCATTGTTACGATCTTAGGCAGCTTTGTTTCTTTCATGAAGTTCACATTCTACAGTATTGCATAAGTCTTAGAATGATGGCAGCTTATTTTCTTTCATTAAGTTTCATTCTACATCTCCCAAATACCTAACCTTTAGAGTGATGTCATCATTAAAAAACTAATTCAACCTTACATCCCCAACCTTAGATCTAATTCTTCTTTTAAGTGAGTCCTCATTTTAGAAGGCCCCGAAAGAATAATCATGTAAAGAAGTCAAGCACACTTAGCATGTTACAAAACACTATAAATTTCTCCATACGATATCATAAGGATATTAGTATTAACATTATATATTCTTATATTATTGTAGATACCTTTTTTTTTTGTTCCTTTTCACTCTCTTTTGCAATCTATGGATGTAAAAATTATCATTTTAATTTCAATGCATATGTCTACTGAGTTGTATTTTATCAAACATAACTTAGAAAATATAGAAACTGCATATCTTCAGTCAAACTGTGAATACTTGATTAATATAATGCCATACACATAATGAGCTCACGAATTTATTTATTCTTTATGTATATTTTAACTATTCTATTCCTATAATGCATTTCCCATACACCAAAAAAGGCTTCTAATAAACGGCTGAAAATAGGAAAGGAAGGAGGGAGGTGCAGGCACAATCATGATTAGTCCAAATCAATTCTTAGATGAAAGGGTTTTTGATTTTCTTTCACATCGAAATATAATTCACAACTCACAAAGAACTTACAGTATCATCATGTAAAGATATAAGAGTATTAAGTATTCAAGGTGGGAACTAATACATCATAATATGATTTCACTCTTTCCTTTAAAAGGGTTTAACAAAACACATTTCTTTTCTATCATTTTCCTCAGAAATAAAGTCAAGATAAGTCCAAAGTTTAAAAAGGAGAAAGAAAATGATAACATAGCACTCTTAGTAAAGACATACAGGTTTTTGTAATCGACCACTAAGATAGAACCTCTCCCAATTGAGTATGTCCTATATCAGATCATCCATTCGAACAACCCCATACTTGAACATCTGCCAAAAATTGCTCAAGGGTGAAGGATTTTAAGAAGACACCCTGAAACACATTTTATACCAAGATATATAACAGACAAACGAAATCACTGATGTATAATAGGTTCTATGCGTGTGCATGCAGATACACCAGATATTGAACTCGTTGAATTTTTAATACCTTGTTATTCCTGGTAACAAATGGGTTGAAGTGTAATCCAACACCGATTTCATCTGCAACATCAGTAATCTAACACAACCAACCAAGTATTTAATCTTAGAAAAAAAAAAGAACCAATTTAAGAGAGAGAGAGAGAGAGAACAGCACCAGCCTTGCCCGGCCAAGGTGCACCATCCAGGAGGCATAGCGATCTCGATTCATTTTCAGATTCTTGGTGCCAATAAAAATAAATAAATACAATTAGAATCTATGGAACTTCGGTTCTCTTCAATGACGGAAATAAGATTTTTATTTTTTATTTAAAAAAAAAAACAAGTTATGCAATCTAAAACTTACCTCAGCATGCATTGCAGAGGATCTGCTACACCTAGAATGTAATCTACCATTGATGACTGGAAAACCAAAAGTGAGGTAAAATTTCAGATAGTTAAAACATTAAATTATTAAAAGAAAGTGAAAAGAAAAGAAAAAGGAAACTGAATTAGACGATAATGCCTTTTCTCTTCTTCTTCTTCTTCTTCTTCTTCTTTTTCTTCTTCTTCTTCTTCTTCTTCTTCTTCTTTATTATTATTTTATTTTATTTATTATGATAGTTAGAAGATAAAGTCAATCATGCAGAAAAAATTATAACCTTGTCACAATTATTTGGATGGAGAGCTGAGCCATAGACACAACAAAATTCTACAGGGGGGAGAATTTTCAGCAAACTCGCAAGCTCTTCAGATTTGTCCTCCATTGCAACACTCTGTAATTGCATGAAAACAGTCATATCATAAGCAGAATATTATTTGTTGCACGACAATGGCCGTCTCTAAGCCCAGATTCTCAAAAAAATACAAACAAATACTAAATTCCAGTAACTCTTTAAAATAAGGACCATCAAAACATATCCAACATTCTTGACCCATGAAGAAGCACTTCACCTCTTCACTGCAATTCAATCATTTTCGCCATGTTGAATGGCACACAGTCAACGTTAAGAAATGCATGAAGTACATAACATTTAAATTTTACGGCATGTGAAAGCTATATAGAATGATGGAACAAACATAGTGCAACATATTGAATGACATTTAAAATTTTTTTTTTATGTATTAATGTTTTTCTAATTGACAATCCTAATTAAATGTAATGACCCAATCATTTTCCTCCCTTTCTTTTTCTAAAATTTTACGGATAAAATTTTTTCGTTTAATTTTCTTTTCTGAGTTCTGTTTTTCGTCACTGAGTGTCGTCTCGAGTGCTTGGAATTGGTTTCGGAGACTCTTTCGTGATGATTGACAACTTCCTTTAAGGACCGAGTCATTTCCACATTTTCGTTTTTCGACACTATTCATCTTTCGTCTTTTTCTCGGCTGTCACTTTGTTGGCATAACCTCACTTTTCGTGTTTGGATTTGATCCTGATTTTGCATGCATCCATGATATTTAAATTCCATGCTATGTGTATTTTTACTTTTGTAGAAAAGTATGCTAAGTGTTTACTTTTTTTGTAAAGGGCAAGAAATCATGACTTTTAGTAAATATTCTAAACTTTTCGGATTTTAGTGTAATTATATAACGTAATTATTTTTCATCTTAGGGACCATTTTGTAATTTAATTTGGAAGATATTTTCAAAAAGGACCTTTTTGCAATTTTCGAAAAGTGTGACAAGTGTCACATTCTCATTGGTCCACTTGTTGACATTTGTGTGGAGACACCTTGATGCCTTGGATGATGACACTTGGAGGGTGGAGATTCACCTACTTGTTGGCCGGTGCACTTATTGGCTTGGATGGTTGACAAGTGTTGGCTTGAGATTAAGCCTATGATGGAGCCTTGGATTTGTGACAAGTGTAGGCTCACAATTAAGTCTTGCAAGTGTGTGTGTGAGAGGTAGTGCAAGAGCACCTAGGGAGTGGAGAAGTCCACCATTTTAACTTAAGGTTATCACATTTAAGTCATTCATCTCTTTCCTCTTAAGAACCCTAACCTAGCCACCATTGAAGACTAAGCTTGCTTTAAAGCTTTAGACTTCATTTTAGTGCCTTTCCATTCACCTAAGACCTTGAAGCTTAGAATACAAAAGCTTCCTCTCACTCTCCTCTTCATAACCCTAGAAGGGTTTACCATTTTATGCTTGCTAGCCTTGGATTCAAGAGGAACAATCCTCTTGTGAGGTAGGGGGTGTTATAATTTACTTTTCCAAGTGGTTTTACTTGTTTTTGTATGACATACAAGTTGTATGCATGTCTTTTATTAATTTGAGAAATTAATGATTATCATTGCTTGCATATAACTCACTTTTGACTTGGTATATGGCATGGCCTTCTCTTGATCTTTGATATATATTTATTTTGAACCATTTGAATGAGTTTTCAAATCTAGAGATTAAATGGATTTAATTTGATTTAAATTCTAGTTAATTGTACTTTGCTTGTATTCCATTTTTGACTTGATATATAGCATGGTCATGACTTAATCCTTGATATATATTTATTTGGGACCATTTGAACAACATTTGAAATCTAGAGATTTAATTAATTTAAATTAATTAAATTCCACATGATGTTATCTTGCTTACTTTGTGAAATTGATGTGATATTTGCAATCACCATGAAATGGACATTCACATATGTTATTTTGAGGATTTTCGGACAACTTTGATTTCTAGAGAAATTAATTAATTAGGTTAATTAATTTCTACTTAGTATTATAATGATTTGGACATCTATTTCATGGGGCTTTTACCTTTTTATCATGTATCATAACTTGTTGCAACTTAGCTCCATTAATGTCGTTAATGAACTTGCACCCTTACATTGGAATGATTTAATTGTTCAAGAGTTGTTAAACTAATAATTAAATCATTAATCTTATACTTGTGGTATATTTACATCAATGGATTCCTTGTGTTTTAAATCCTAGTTTGTAATCTTTGTAGATGCATACTACTATTTCTTGACATTTCACATGCCATCATAGTTGAGAACTTAGGGCATGACTTGTGTATTCCAAAATCTTAGTTGTGCATGGAATATGGTTTAATGCATCTCTTGTATCTTGATACTATCTTGGTTTACACAACTTGTTGATTTTGGGACTTAGGATATCAATTAAGAATTGACATGGCTAGGACTTGGTTCTAGTAAGGGGGATTGTCCCTCTACAACTATAGTGCACACTAGGGGAAAGATAACTATGGGTTAGTAGCCCTAAAGTGATCTCAAGAGTACGGTTTTAATCCGGGCGATATTCGAGTTTTCCACATTGGTTGATTTCACTCTTTAAATTTCAAGTTGCTATTCCTTGAAGATTTAAACTTGTCGTGTATATGAAATGCTCCAATCTTGTTTCATTGCATAGATTTTATGCTTCATTCGTGATTTCATGTAAAACCTTTTCGTGTTAATCGGAATGTTCCAAACTTATTTACTTGCATAGATATTATGTCTTGTTCTTGATTTCATGTATAACTCTTCTTGCGTTTCATGGAATGTTTTAATCTTGTTTCATTGCATAGATATCATGCCTTATCCTTAATTTCATGTATTGAACTTTTTGTGTTATGTGGAATGATCCAACTTGTTTAAATTGCATAGATATTGTGCATTATCCTTGATTTCGCGCCTTGTCCTTGTCGTGTTAATTGAATTGTTTCAATCTTGTTAAATTTCTTAGTTATCTTATTTCATGTTACTTTATGCTATCGTGACTTAGGAACGATCCTATTCGTGTAACTTGACTTAGATCCTAGGTGGCATGGACCACATGTAATAGTTTATACTATCAAGCATAATCTTTGAACCCTTAGATTTCAAGTGTTATCTCTTGAAGATCTAAGAACCTTGTCGTGATTGTATGGAGTATTTCCTACCTTGCTTAATTGCATTATGCTTGCTTCATGTATTTAGATCTCGTTGGGCACACTTGAAACCGTACACTTGCTTCTTGTATCTAGAACTCCATTTAGTATACTCGTGTCTTGTATACTTGCCTTGTGTGTTTCTGATTTCCGTTTAGTATACCTGTGTTTTGTATACTTACCTCGCATGTTTTCATCTCCGTTTAGTAACTTGTAACCGGTATGCGTGTATGTCATGTATCTCATTTCAATTGCATGAGTAGCTTAGGATGCTCGCTGAGTCTACCCTTTGACATAGACATTAGGTGTCACTTATTACGCTTAAATCACTTATTACGCTTGCGTGCATATTCATTTCAGCTTAGAAGTGCATTTGGGGTCAAATGCATGCTTGGTGCAAAGTTGCATTTTTGCCACCTTGAGCCAAATCTGATCTAGGGGTATTCTAGACATTTCATTGTATTTTTTTTTTGTTTCTGTCCATATGGTTGGCTAGAAAACATGATTTTGAGGGGGGTTTCTTCTTTGTATTTTTTTCAAAAAGGCCCAGAAAGTCCTCAAAATTGCATTTTAAGTTAGCATTTCAGGTGCAGCCTACAGCAGAACGAGCGCTCCAAGGGGCTACGAGCGCTCGTAAATGGGGTAATGGGTTTTTTCCCTGGGGTGTGCACTACATGACTGCTTGTAGCCTTTCACAAGTGCTCGTAGCATTGTTCATGTGTGTGTGTGTGTGTTGGTTTAACACTGCACCTCCAATTTCGGGTTATCGTATCTTCTTCGTTTAACTCTGAATTGGTCCATTCTTGAGTCTAAATTGACCAAGTTGAAATAAGCTTTCCAATGGTACCAATTTCAGCTTTAGATTCCACTTGTAGCTTGAGAAATTCAAGTTTTAGTGAAGTAGTGTCAGTTTTTGGTTCGAACCGGGATAGGGTTTCCCTTCCTTCGACTTCAGAACTTGATATCTTTGCCATCCGGACTCCGAATCAAGTGATTCTTGAGTCCATCTTGGTTAATTTTTCATTATCTATCCAATGGTGTACACGAGGATACCCATTTTAGTTAGAATTACCATTTTACCCTTTTAGCCTTAAGTGTTCGTCTTTCTTCGTCTTGTCGTTTCTCTTTCGTCCGGACTCCAAATCATGCGATTCTTGAGTTCATCTTGATTAATTATTCATTTTATTTCTAGTGGTGTGCTCAGTGGCACCTGAGTCCATATTTTTTAGAAATAACTATTTTGCCCCTGGGGCTTAATTGTTATCTTTTCGGTCTTTTGCTTCCGCGTCCGTCCTCATTGAGTTCCACAACCTCATGAGAGGTCATATT